AGGTTTCAGGAACCATTGACACGGGGTATGGAACCCTTCATAGACTGAGCACTGAGCTGAGCACGGATATCAAGTAGGGACACTTTTGGAGTACTTACGCCCCCAGCGCTCCTAACCCCCCCTACCTCCAAACCCCCCCCCCCTCTACCCTCAGGAGCAACCCTGCCAGAAATACGCCGAAAGCTCCAGCAAGATCAAAACCCCAAAGCCGATACCAGACCCATGCACACCCAGGAGCCCTCGGCGGCAGAGCCGCCGCCACCGGTTCCGAAGAATCCGAACGAGCTGGTGCTTTGTACCACGGGAGGTCGGAGTTCGGGTTTTTGGGGCGATGTCTGTTTGTTGATTTTTTTAAGAAATGTAGTTGGATGCCTGAGCATCAAGGGTGTTTATGCCGAGGAGGTGTTCATCATGCAGCGTTGCAGCAGTATGCAGCAGTGCGGGGCATGTCGGGGAACGGGTGGCTCGTGAGTCGGAAGAGTAGAGGGCTGAGTCTGAACAGAGAGGTCCGACTTGGAAATCAACTCAATATAGGGTCCCGGTAACAAGTTTTGGCTTTCTTGTACTTTGGGTTTCGTTTGTGATGCCACCATGGTGTCCTGCTTCACTGCCCGGCAACGAAACCCGGGGAGAGGTCTGTACGTTGTTCAGTTCATGTTCATGTGCATGTGTTCTCGTCGCAGGTGAGGTCAACCGGTACCCTGAGTACCACAACACGCCCTACCTGCCTTTGCTGCGCGCATTGCGCCTCGGCTTGGGCGGCTCAGGTGCTTGAGATGGTTTAAAGTGAGTTCGCTTAGACTGCGAACGAATCGGCTTTCCGCTTCTTTGGCACCGGACTTTGACAGCCGGGTCTGAGGTCATATCGGACGGAGGGTCGTGAGCTTTAAGCCAAAAGGTCTTCAGGCCTAGCCTCGTGGCATGTCGAATCTTCATATATCACATACCTTCACTCCGCTTGCATGTCTGATGTCCATGATGCAGCTCATCATGTCACAAGCAAGTCTCCCATCTCCGATTCTTCAGGCACACATAGCCAGGAGGGCTTTGGTTTTCTGAAGGGGTTCCCCGTTGCCTTCAGCAATCCGAAGCCCTACCATCCCAGGTATCAGTTGAGATCTGTGAGCAACATCCTCCAAGAATGTACAGCTTTCTGGGGCGCCTTCGGCTTGCAATTTGATCGATTGCTAGGCTTTGCTACGTCAAGCTTTGCTGGTCGGCAAACCGTGATGCACCTCAACATCAACATTGTTCATTGCGGCGACCACACCAATCAGCAGCAGCGGAAGTGACCGCGGCGGCGGCGTCAGCGGCGGCGGCAGCGGCAGCAGCAGCAGCAGAAGAAAAACCACCGCCACTGCCGCCGCCATCACCTTCGGATACCTTCACTTACTGGTCTCATGCTGTGGTGCTTCGTTCTCCTCCACCGTGTTGCTTTCAGGCTGAACAGCACGCTAGCTCAAACGCACAGTGTGCAATTCTTGTGTGAAAGGTGTTGCAACATCGCCAACTCACAACCTTCTCTGTGGTTTTTGCGGTTTTTACACGGTTGGAGCACGAGTCACGGAAGTGCAGCGCCGGTACTTGAACGACTTGTGTTTGTGTTGTAAGTACTTGTGCGAATACTTGGGGTGAGCGCGGCACCGATTGAAAGGCTATTAAGTATTCATGGTGTGGGATGCCATGCAGACAAACCTGGCATGAGACAACAACTGCAGTATCTGCGGGGAACATGCGCATTATCGCGGCGCCGGCTATGTGAAACGGACGTTATCGGTTATCTGGCACCGACAGAGCACAAAAGCTTGCAGGGACTCGTATGTCTCGTATCATTGAGCTATATTGAGCTCTGATCCAATGATAGCATTGGCTGTGCTGAGAAAGACGCGTGCAGGCATCGTGCGCACGGCATGGATACGATCGGAGTCTTCTGACGGCACAAGCGCTGGAAGTACCGCGCGGGCCACACGAAGCGCAGCGCCTGAATCGCGCCAGGAAGGCATCGCAGAGGCGACACACTTTTGAAGTCATGGCAGCGGTTGTTAGCACAGAAGCCAATGTCTACGTTACGTGAATGCAACCAGCACGAGGCTGACGTTGCAACGCAAGCACATGATAGGGGCTCTCCTTGCAACGGTAGATCTCCTCCGTAGATGCACTCCAAGGTCACATTGAGAGCACAGTGCAGGAGCTCGCTCGAACCAAGGCCATGTGAGAGATCAGTACGAGACGAGAGCTTAGCGATTCGGGCACGGCACCTCTTTCGTGTGGAGCTGGCAGAAGATGAGCTCTAAGCCATGGCTGACATTTTCTCGTTCTCGTAAGCAGCAGCCAAATGAAGCCAACCGAAGAGGACCACACGCAAACCTTGCTACGCCACGCTGCAAAGAGCACCGGACTCAAGGAGCTGGCGGGGCTTTCAGTGCAATTTGGGACAATTGCTTTCAAGGCCTTTCATTTCGTGTCATAAGTCACTCGAAGCATCGAAGAAGCACCCGGTCCTCAAACACTTCATTGAAAGAACTGCGTGTTGCAACAGCTGTCATCCACAGCTCTGGCTTGCGAGGAGCGCTTCGATCAGCGGCTGGGAGAATATGGCCCCTTCGACTGCACGGATTTCATAGAGAGGATGTAAGATGATGTGAGGAAGCATGGGAAGCATTAAAAAGCTTTAGGATGCAGAACATGTATAAGGAGTGCGTGGAAGGGTTCAAGGCGTTAAGGGCCAAGGGATCCTGAGACAAATTGACTTCTTTGGATCTTTGCTCACTGGGCGATTCAGTCTAGGGCAGGGCCCCCACAGCTTGTGAAGCCGCCCCAGCAGCTTTAGCAGGAGCTTTCTGGGCTACCCTCTTGAAGCTCTGCGAGCAGTACTGCCAGGAGGCAGTGGCAGAGTTGACAGGGAGCTGTTTGATTTTGAGGCTTTGTCCTATGTTTCAAAGAGCGTGCGCAGAGCCCGCCTCATTTTTCTGAGCATGCCGCCCCGGCATTTCCGGAGGTCCAGCCGGAGCTCAACAAGATGATGGATGATGTACGGAACGCGGAGGTGCGCAAGTTGTAAGTTTGGATGCTACGGCTGCACACTGCAACACTCGAAAGCCATCCAAATCCATCCAATACCTGAGCATTCAATGGGGATCTTTTGAGGAGACCTCATGTCATGCGTGTCAAAAGACTCGACAAGAGGCAGATGACTCTGTAGGCACGCCAGCGCATTCCCCTCACTCTCTGGATCTGAAAAACATTCCCGAAACGCTCATGGCATTCTGGTGAGGTGGACTTTAAGTACTAAGTGCAGCCCAAAATCAAGTTCCAACAACAACAAAACCCAACACCCTCCAGCTGGCGGAGGCAGCGGCAGACGCGTTGGAGCTGAAAGCGGCTTCTGGTCGATTGCCTGCAGTAGCAGTAACCTTGTGCACACTCTGCTTACAAGCCGCATCTCAGTGTTCAGGCTGGCGTGCATTAGTGCTGGGTTCTGTTTGCTAGTGGTTTTTGGCAGGATACTATCTTGACATTTCATTTTGGGAGGTTTTGTTAGTTGAACAGTTGTGTACGCCCTGATCTTGATTGATACTGTGCGATATTTGGTTAATTCAGAAACTATGGTAGTTGTTGCTGTGCCCATCTTGGCTTCTACGGAAGCAGAGGTCTCGGTCGCATGGAAGAAGCACGATGAGGCCCTGAGGCAGATATCGGCCAGGGAGATCAGCCATAAGAACCCTAGTTATCGATCTCTAAGCAATGATGTGGGGAACTACTGCTGCGGCTTGAGGGTCCCGCTACTTGCAGTGGATGGGTGTTGCCATACACTGTGTTGACTTTTTCTTTCTTGGCGGGGGTGTTGAAGACGATTGAAGAAGCTACACCAGAAAACGGCATGTGGGAGTGGAGTCTTGTGGCCGCCCAAGTTTTTGAGATAGCTTTTCTCGCCCCAGAAATGCCTTTCTGCCTAACTCTTTCATGACTCTCATGGTAAACCTCACACGCACCATCGCCAGCATCCCACGTGGAGGTGTTGGTTGTCTTGCAACAGTGAGTCTCGCAGAGATGTGGCATAGATGCCCTTGATGTCCCTCCAGTGCTAGGGTTGACGATTCAGGTGAGAATATACAAGGGGAGCAGTTCACCCTGCAAGTTGCCCGAGATATCATGTCCCCGCAGTCCTGAACTCCTGAACTCCTGAACCTCAAACTTGGCGTGAGCCGGGTGCGGTCCAGTGGAGTGGGGGCTCGAATGAGCCGCCCCGCCACGGTCCCTGGGCGCAGGGGCCCGTTTCCATCAGATGCCTATTGCATACATGTAGCTACTCTCCATGTTGCCTCCGTAGTGTAGCTTCTGACGCACAGCAACTGATATCATTGACCGCTGCCTCATAGACGGGGCAACAGGACGGAGACGACACACATTGGAGCCTCGCGCAGTCCCAGGAATGGGAGGTCCATGGGTTTGGATGGTCCATGCACATGGAGTTGCTTCCCCTGCGCCTCGGCCATCCCTGCTAGTGACTCGTCAGTCCGGCTGTTAAGGCCAGTCCCACGCGACGATAGACTGAGGTAGATCGTGCCCTCGGCAAGCATGTACAGCGCTGCAGGCCTCAGCAACAACCACTTGCTGCCCCAGCTCTATTGCGAGGAATATGTCCCATGCCGAATATTTTCGAGACCTGCCAGCATCGTATGCTCTCTGCCGGGTGGCATGCACCAATTCGTTACGATCAAAAAGAGAATCGACTCAGACCGTGCTACGCACCTGCAGCTTGCTAAGTTGTAAGGGTGGAGAACATTCGGGCGTCATGACGCACGACCTCCAAGATCATGCCTTACTGAACATTCAGGTAGAAGGCGCCCAAAGGCCCTGCAGGCTTGATGGAGCCCAACACGGCAATTGGCGTTTTGTAGCTCAGTGCTTCTGGAAGACATTCAGCAGAAGCATGCCCGGTGCGAAGCCGTTGCGTGCCACGTAAGCACGGTCCCAGCCAGCATCTGAAGCTGCGGAAGGTAGCGCAACCAACTGGCAGCCCACGCCAGATGATGCAGGCGGGGTTTGGAGTCTGGGCTGAGCCAAAAGACTTGCTTGAAAAGTTCTTTCCGTCGTCTGGCTGGTCATTGCTGGGGCTGTTAGTACTTGATTCCTATCATCACCATTTTCTCTACGTGCTCATCTTGCCACTTTGTTAGGTGCTTATGGTTCATGCAGAAGCTCTGAAACGACGGCTGGAGACGCAGCAGGCCTTCTAAGTGCAAGCAGAGCGAGATTTTGAGAGAAGCTGAATGAAGCTGTTTCCGTGGTGGAATTGTCGGGTCATGTCTTTTTGGGCAGAACTCGAGGCTGAGCGCGACAATCTTCGCTTTCAGGCTTGGTGCGTCAGCATTGCACTTAAAAGCAGTGTGTTCAGTTCTCAACGCGAATCTGCGAGCTTCGATTACCTTCGGTTTACACTGGCAAGCGAAGATCATGCGTTTGGTCCTTCCATGACTGCCAGCTGCGGCTGCTGCAGCGCGACGAGTCGGAGCGACAGCCCTCCTGGCTGGAGCAGCAGGTAGCCTACCTGGAGGCCTGCAACATGGAGCTTCCAGAGAATGTAGTCGTAGCAGTTATCATAGCCGTAGCCGGTGTCCTGCACTAGCCAAGATGGAGTAGTAGTCTGAGGACGACATTCCAGAGTCGCAAAATTCCAGTTCTGCGCACGGGTGTCCAGGCCGAGAATCGGAACAGCGCCGCAGTACACGATGAGTCTGAGCGTATCTTGATTGCATGTTCAAGGCCTCTGCTCTTGAAGATGGAGTTGAAGATTGTTAGGTAGCTTCCTACCGGCATACAGCTTTTGGATTTGCTTCACGTGCGATTCTTACGCCACATTCAGAAAGCAAGCTGCCTTGTCGCCCTGGGTGCACAACTAGCCTCAGGGCAGCCGAATTTGCTCTTCACCGCTCAAGACCTCGTACGAACCGCATTGCAGCTGAAGCCCATGTATCTAAAGCAGTTATCTGGCATTCCACCCGTCACCAAAACAGTTGCTAGTCTTTCCCCCATAGACCATACCTCCAGCCTCTGAATGTCCATCCCTGAGGCCTCACGCGGAGGATGAAGGCTGTGGAGGCTGCCCTGGCAAGGGCCACAGAGAACGAGGGTCCACGGCGGATAAGAACATTTGGTGTGTTTATTGCCAGGAGGCTGGGAAGTGGGAAGTCTCGATGTGCCGGTGGGAGATGGTGGGAGGGATCTCAAAATGGAACTCTGGCACGGTGTCTGAAAGGATTGCTGAAGATTGCCACGGATGGATGAAGCTCTTCCTTCTTTCTGGGATGCACACAAGTCAGTTCCCAACTGGCTCAGAGTACCTATTGCCATGATTTGCCATGCGCGATCTTTCCGAGGCTGAGGTTGATGCTGAACCATCTCAGGCCAGCTCATGCTGAGGAAATTTGAACATGGACACAAAAGAGACGAGCCTAGCCCGGCCGATTTCAAGAATTTGTTGAGAGCGCCAAGGAACAAACTTCACAGCGACGGTTCGAAAGTAAAACAAAGACGTCACGTCGGGTCGGTAGGGTCATATAGGGAGGTACTACAACTGGCTACAACTGGCCAACAGGTGAAGGCTGTTGCTGCAGAGGTGCAGGCGCCTGAGGACCTGAGAGGGGGATGTTGTTCGTCTTTGAGTTCGAGAGGTCGCATGTCCATGGCGCGGCACAACAAGGTGTATGTCTTGTATCCATGCTTCCATGCTTTCAACCCCGATACAGCCTGGGTGCACTTAGGGGTCCCACCAACTTTCTTCTGGGTTACCGGGGACCCCAATGAAAGGAGGACGAGGACGACTTGGACCTGGCTCGCTGGGAATGTCGCAATGTGGAGCGACGGCTGGAGCAGGCCGCAGGGCCAATGAAGTGCATGCAAGTAATCAGTACTCGTATGAAGTCTCTGTCGCCCCGCGGCTGCTTGCATGACCGATAGTTGAGAAGCTTGCCCAAGGCCACTAACCGCCTCAACCCTGCCAGCAGGCCCGCAGCTACAACCGCACACTGATGGAGGACCTGCGTTGGGTTCGATTTTGCAGTTTGGCCCAGATGATCATGGCTGAAGGCTTGGGGGAAGCCAAATCCCGAAACCTCATGCTGTAATAACATCTTCCAGAACTTTGGTGCTGGGAGCCTGGGGTTTCCAAAGCCGGGGCCGTCTAAACATCAACGATCCACACTGCAGGTGACAGACTTCGCTTGTACTGCCAAAGAATGGAAGCCGCAATCATTTCACTCGAGCTAAACCCCAAGTTCCATGCATGTTACTATCACTCTCTGCATTGGTTTCGTCATTATCAGCACTGTGATTGTTACTGTTGTTGTTTGATGTTCATCAGGGCTGCCATTAAAAGTATTGCTACCATTGTCAGCGTTACCATTAGCCCCATATACCAAGAATCCCATGCCGCACCAGCGTTATCGTTCGCATGCTTATCGATATCATTACCACTGGTGACAACAATACTGTTATCCCCTATGAAATGGAGGAACTCTGCAGAAAGCGGAACCATGACGAGCCGCGCTTGGCCCAGAGGGCAAACGGAGTCAGAGCAGAGTTTAGGGCTTAGGGTTCGGCTACGTCTACTGCTTACTTAGCCGTTATGCAAAAACAAAAACAATGGCTGCCCCAGCTGTCCTCAGAGGCTTTGTTCATCATTGGTTCTAAGGTTGGAGGAGGCATCGGCGGAGGAGGAGACCAAAGCATCCCTGTCCCAAAGCATCTGCGGCTTGCCTTGCGGATGCGGGTTCAGGGTCCAAGGAGGACGTCCGCCTTGAGAATTGCGCGTCAGGACCCGGAGATGGCGAACATGGTGTCTCAAAACACTGAGATGCTGCGAAGGCTTGGCCCGATGTCGAGAGAGTCAAAACACTGAGAGTCAGAGCGGCTTGGGCTGCATCTGCTGGATGCCTGCTTGTTACAGTCTAGCTATTGACCACCCGTGCAAAGTGGCCGGTGGTGAGGCCGGAAGCCTCAGTTGGTTTTGACCAAATCCGTGACTCGAGACATGCAGAATCCACAGGCTCAGCAACATCTCTTCAGCCGAGCCTAGTAGGATGGCCAAGGGCTGCAGGCTTCGAGCTGTTCAGCTACGGCTCCAGGCTGTTTATCCGAATGGCGACCTCCTGAGTACTTGCACCAATAAGTATGCCGTCACGAACTCAGGATTCCCTCAAGAAGATTTTGCAATTTGCACAGTTCTTGCAAATCGAATCGCAACAAACGGAGGTACTGCCAGAACGTTGCTGCAAAAAGACATAGGACCCGCTGTCATTGTCCCAGCTCCACTCCCCCGCCTTCGTGACACAAACCCGGAAACGAAGCCCCGGAATCCTATAAGTCTCCCTTTTCACCTCTAATTAAAACACTAATCTCCCAAACCCCAAGCACTCAGACGCCTTTGCTGTAGGCTTCGGGAGGAGGTGGCAACGGCGAGCCGAACTTCGGCCCCACAGCCACCATCCGAACCACGGCCCGGTGGGAGAGGCTTTGGGGGAGGGAAGGGGTGGAGGCGTGCTGTGGCGTTGCAATCATCGGTGAGCAGCCGGGCACGTTGAACTTAATTGCAGGCTCCAGTTCATCGCTAGCACTGCTGATCTTGAATATCCCCAGGCCGCGCAGCTCGCAGCGGAGCCTCTGTGGATGTGCTCACCATCGGTGTCGGTCCGGGAGGCGGCAGGGCGAGCTGCTGTGTACTCCGGTCTTGGTCGAAGGGACGAAGTGGTCAGCACAACAGCCTCGATGAGCGCGGTAGAGGTCATGCCCAGACGCGTCGTGATTCTTTTGGCACTTGCATGTTTTTCCCAGAGCCCTACTCCCGCAGTCTGTCGAAGGTGAGGATGTCGAATGGCACAAAGATGCTCCGACGAAAAACCTTGACAAGCAAGTTGATTCAGAGGATTGCTTGTTCGGGGATGCGAGATGATTCTTATATCCACGTGCTTGATTAATATGTTATGGTGGGCTACCATATTGATGAAATCCCAAATAATTTCAATGACTCGGTAATTAAATTGGATTGAGAATTGATAGGTATCTTATAATTCGCAATTGGTATATTTGGGTCTTCTGGGTCTCTTCCGCTCACTTTGAATTGACATCTTCTTGGGAGGATTTAGAAAAATTATGACATATTTCATCTCTTCATTATATCAAATCATATTTTTCATTTATTTCTAGTAATACCTACATATTTTTCTATTTCTGAATAATTCCTCATAATTTTTTCTATTTGATGAAAGAGAAAATTAATTTTTCTATAATATATCCCTATAAACATATCCCTATAAAAGGCTACGGGCTCGACCCCTACTTTCGCTCTGCGGCCGCCTTGTCGGATGCCCCGCCTCCTCTTCCGGTCAATTTTGGCTGCTTGTGAGGCCCTTGCAGGGGGATCCGGAAAATTCCGGGAATTTTTACGCTTATTGTCTAAAAATCCTAGGAATTTGTGGAATCACCCGGATCTGAAAATTCCCGGAATTTTCGGAATCACCCGGATTGAGGTTTAGGCTTTCCGGGTTGGATTTAAGTTTCCCCCGAGTTCAGGGTTTAAGGGTTTTACGGTTTACGGTTTAGGGTTTTAGGGTTTAGTAGAAGTTGTATAGGGTTTGTGTCCGGGGGTTTTGTGGTGTTTTGGGGGGTTTTGTTTTTTGCTTTTGCTGCAATGATTTGGGTTTTGTCGGATCCGGGGGGGGGGGGGGGGGGGGGGCGGCTTTGGGGAGCTGAGGGGCTGGGGTTGCGGGGCTGCGGCTGAGGGGTTGGGGCTGAAAGGCTGGGATTATTGGGGGTTTTGCTTTTTGCTTTTGCTGTAATAGGTTGGGTTTTGTCGGGTGCGGTGGGGGGTGGGTGGTTTTGGGGTGCGGCTGAGGGGCTGGGGTTGAAGGCTGGGATGTTGGGGGTTTTGTTTTTTGTCTTTTTGCTGTGATCATTTGGGGTTTTGTCGGGTGCGGTGGGGGGACGGGTGGTTTTGGTGGGCTGAGAGGTTGGGGCTGA